TAATAATACCTAATAATGTATGTTTTCTTTCATTTTTTGTAGTTTTTTCATTTATGAAAATTAAACACTGTTTTATAGAAGATATGTGCATTATCTTCAATAAAAGTAAAAAAAGGATGGCTAAAACAAAAACTAGCAAAAAGCTAGCTAATAATTAAAAGTGTAGCTAAACACTAAATGTAGCAGAGAAGCTACAAGTAGCATAAGAGCATACAAACAGCAAATTTGCTGAAGTAGATAAGAACATTTTTGAAGGAAATGAAGGGAGCTCAGTGTATTTCTATGAGAAAATATTTGTTAATAAGTTAAATACTATGGAAAGCAGAAAAAGTTATTAAAAACAAGAACCAACACACATATCATTAATGGGTTTCACTGACATATGAACATTTTGATATACGAACGGCAAAAATAGCACAAAGACTGCAAATGTAGTTGACTGCAAAAAAAAGAATGAAATATTAAAAAAAAAAAACAGGAGAATATTCACCATATTCTCCAAATTCCAGCAGGCTCCACTGCTTGCGCTCCACCAGCTTAGACACCAGCTTTACAGCCAACCAGATGACAAGCATTCCAAGTGTTGCGTCCAACAGGAAATTCATMAGATAACTGAGAAAAACAACTTCAAGTTAAACCATGGTTAGGACACTGCTGGTAGATAGATTGCGTCTGATAACTCACAGAGAGCAYGGGTCCTCTTTGGTGAGAGTGGACAGGAAGACATTGGCAAAGTGGATGAACAGAGCACCAATGGCCTGTTTGGACGTGTCATAAAACCTGAAAAACACAATAACTTTAACAGAAGGGTACGTTTTTTTTTTTTCTTTCTTTCTCCACATTAATTTCAAGAAACCTGCCCAAGATTATCATTCAGTTTGACCAGGTTAGTTCTTAGTTGTTGTCAAATATAAATCACAGGACAGTAGCAGGGGAGAAAAGAAAACGGTTCTGACCAGATCCTCCACGGTCGTCTGATCCCGACAGGCTCTCGGAACCTTTTCACTGAAAAACAACAACAGGGCAAAACAATGACACGTTTGACCTGGTCTCCCTGCAGAACTCCAGGAGACAGAGGACAAACGCAGTGCAGGCGCAGCACCCTGACTCCAATCTGCCACAACACTTCATTTMTCCTGAAAACGAACAGGCGCCCGCTGTTCCTCGGACAGCGTGACTCTGCGTGTGGAAACGGGACGAGCCTTCCTGCTCACGTGTTTTAGAGGACTTTTTATTGTTCGAGTGCCTACTAACCTCTCACACTACTGAGGTCATCTTCTCTTCTCAGTCCACAATCTTTGTGCCATTTCAATAACTTATACATGAAAACATTCAGCTCCTTCAGGACTCTCCAGCTATGACTTTTGGTATTTCTGCAATTTATATTTTTTAGAGATGTTTTGCTTTTTCTGCCATTTTGTTCTCATTGAAAATATGAATTTCTCAACATCTTTAATACTTTAAAACGTTCATGAATCTTTTTCACCTTTTGTTCTGATTCTGTTATTTTTAACTACTTTGTGATCATTTCAGATTCCATCGACTAATAGTTTGTTGATTTTAGCTTTTAAATTTTTTTTTAATTATTGTGAACTTTTTTGTGCTTCTTTTGTGCTTTTTGCTCATTTTGGCTGTTTGTGTTTTTAGCTACTTTTTAGCTAAATTCAGCTTTTTTTCAGCTAAACTGATTTTTTGTATCTTTTTAATAATTAATCAAACCTGCTCTTTCAGTTTCTTAGTGTTAATTTTTAGCTATTTCAGCTACTTTTTGTTATTTTTAGGCTAGTTTCAGCTTTTTTAGTCATTTCAAAACAAATTGCAAGTTTTTTTGTACTTCTTTAGTTTTTTTAATTTGAAATTTTTAGTTCACATTTCCCTGTCTGTTAATCTGAATTTGTTTCTGTTAGTTTTAGCTTCTTTTTGCTAATTTTATCTAGTTTTTTTTGCTCTTTTCAGATTAGACCTTTATCGTTCTACTGATTTTTCACTCTTGTTGTCCTACTTTCAGCAACAGTCAAATGTTCAAATTTAACAGTTTAGCTATGAAACCGTTTCAGCTTCTTTAGCAGCTTTCAGCAAAAATCCTTAACCATACATGTGGCATTTTCACAGGATATGCAACTTCTTCAAGTTCAAGTATCCTTTACTGTCAAAATCTATGTAACAGGGTTAGCACAGAAGTTGAAATTGCGTTTCACCAGTCTCCAATGTGCAGTTAACATATAAACATATAGATAAGACATTGACAGTACCTCCCCCACACACACACACACACACATACACACTAGTTATAATTATACAATGGGTAAAATAAGTATTGAACACGTCACCATTTTTCTCAGTAAATATATTACTAGAGGTGCTAATGACATGAAATGTTCACCAGATGTCGGTAACAACCCAAGTGATCCATACATACAAAGAAATCAAACCATAAATGTCCAGAAATGAAGTTATTTGTAATAATGTGGAATGGCACAGGGAAAAAGTATTGAACACATGAAGAAAGGGAGGTGTAAAAAGGCATGGAAAGCCAAGACACCAGCTGAACCCTCTCAGTAATTAGAAAGCAAGCCTGCCCCTTGTCAGTGCAAATTAATATCAGCTGGTTCAGTCCCAAATGATGGCCAGGTATCACACAAGAACCATCTGATGATGGGTAAAAGTAAAGAGCTCTCTCAAGACCTTCACAACCTTATTGTTGCAAAGCATAATGATGGCATCGGTTACAGAAGAATGTCTAAACTTCTGAAGGTTCCAGTGAGCACTGTTGGGGCCATAATTCAGAAGTGGAAAGAACATTATTTCACAATAAACCGACCACGACCAGGTGCTCCTCACAAGATTTCTGACAGAGGAGTGAAAAGAATTATCAGAAGAGTTGTCCAAGAGCCAAGGACCACTTGTGGAGAGCTTCAGAAAGACCTGGAATTAGCAGGTACGWTTGTTTCAAAGAAAACAATAAGTAATRCACTGAACCACCATGGCCTGTATGCACGCTCACCACGCAAGACTCCACTGCTGAAGAAACAGCATGTTGAAGCTCCTTTAAAGTTTGCTGCACAACATTTAGACAAGCCTGTGTAATACTGGGAGAATATAGTCTGGTCAGATGAGACCAACTTTGAACTGTTTGGATGCCAGAATACACATCATGTTTGGAGGTCAAATGGCACTGCACATCAGCCCAAAAACACCATACCAACAGTGAAGTTTGGAGGTGGGAACATCATGGTGTGGGGCTGTTTTTCAGCATATGGTACTGACAAACTTCAAATAATTGAAGGAAGGATGAATGGAAAAATGTACAGAGACATTCTTGATAAAAATCTGCTTCCATCTACCAGGATGATGAAGATGAAACATGGCTGGACATTTCAGCAAGACAATGAGCCCAAACACAAAGTCAAGGAAACTCTCAGTTGGTTTCAGAGAAAGAAACTAAAGCTGCTGGAATGGCCCAGCCAATCACCTGACCTGAATCCAACAGAAAATCTATGGAAAGAACTAAAGATCAGAGTTCATAGAAGAGGTCCACGAAACCTTCAAGATTTGAAGACTGTGGAAGAATGGGCCAAAATCACACCTGAGCAATGCATGCYACTAGTTTCTCCATACAGGAGGCGTCTTGAAGCTGTCATTGACAACAAAGGGTTTTGTACAAAGTATTAGATAAATTTCAGTAAGTGTGTTCAATACTTTTTCCCTGTGCCATTCCACATTATTACAAATAACTTCATTTCTGGACATTTATGGTTTGATTTCTTTGTATGTATGGATCACTTGGGTTGTTACCAACATCTGGTGAAAATTTCATGTCATTAGCACCTCTAGTGATATACACTGCTCAAAAAAATAAAGGGAACACTTAAACAATGCACGCTAACTCCCGATCTTAATCAATGAAATATTCGCATTAAGTACTTTGTTCTGTACAGAGTTGAATGTGCTTCACAAAAGTTTGATTTACTTGGACTTAGCGTGCGTTGTTTAAGTTTTCCCTTTATTTTTTGAGCAGTGTATTTACTGAAAAAAATGGTGACGTGTTCAATACTTATTTTACCCGCTGTAATTATTATTGCACTAAACCTCTTTAGGTCATCATTAATTGATGTCACGATTAGGTCTGAATATTCTCACAAATTCTGTCGAAGCTTTTCAAAGCTATATTATTACAGCTCTTGTTTGATAGCCATTWGCCTCAACTGGATGAAAACTTGCCTCTTCCTCCATCACTTCAAAAATAAYCAGACTATCACTTTAATAGTCTTACCTAGAAGTAGGCAATCAAGAATACTTAAAAACAGAATTGTGCKATTTATACGAGTTTGGTCAACTTAGGTTAGCTTTGTCAGGACCTACCTCGTTCTCAGCCTGCCTGTAGGAAGAAGTCTGCCTCTCATTTGAGATTTTGGCCAAAAATCATACCCTCGTTAAACTCTGTGACTTTAGTTGTATCCTATTTTAAAAYTTCCTGTGCCTTTTATAAATCACGTGCCAAATTTTGTCCAAATTAACTGTTGAACTGGAAATGACTTCAGCGCTTTAGTAAAACCCTAAAACTTTTTTAATGGGTCTTAATACTGCAATAACCTTCTCTGCATTAAAAACATCACGCAACATGCAAAACGAATGTTATTCTGTGAATTTCTCTTCGATTCAAGCTTCTACGAAGATGATGTTTGTCTAACAGCTCAACATAATCCTCGTCTGGATTTACTTTATCCTCAATGATAAAACTCAGCTTTAAAACTTGTGTTTTGTGTTAGYTGACCAGGAGGAAGTCGAGCAGTGTCGGCACCACAGGCAGCAGTTTCACGCTAAGTATCAAGATTTCCAGGCTTTTACTGGTCTCACGTCATGTGTAAACATTCAAACACGGGGACATCTGATCTAATAATCAGTGTAGTTTCAAAGGTCAACACAGTGATGAGGATTTCATCGTTCAGCCGAAGCAGCTGGGCTCAATGCAGATGAATCCTCGGCCGCAACAAAATGCCTTAAAGTGAAACGAAATCAATGAGCTCCACTCGGTTACATATTAGCGGAGGAATCAATATTTCTTCCCTCTCAGTGTGCTYAAAGTGCTCGCAAGTGTTGTTCCTAGTCAAAGCTGTAATTTACTTCATAATTTATGTTCAGCAGAGCATTAAGAGGCCTTCAGCTACGATCTGTGTGTCAAGCCACTGATACGGCCTCCTACAAGCTATTTCTGGGAGTTTCCTCCAACTGACTTGACATGACTGTTATACATTCACCGGCCACTTTATTAGGTACACCTGTCCAACTGCTCGTTAACACTTAATTTCTAATCAGCCAATCAC